AGATGGTAACTCAGTTACGCACTCTATAATAAAGTCACTGTAATTAATGAATTGCAATGTGGTGATAGAAAAAGAAGAGCACGGAAGTCACAGAGCAATGAAAGAGAAGTATAACTCAGTTATGCCTTTGCACAGCGCAGTGGCAAACTGAATTCCTTCTAGGTCAGAAGTCAGACATGAAGCTGCCTTCTACTGAACCAGACCCTGGGTCCATCAAAGTCAGTGTTGTCTACTCAGACTGGCAGCAGCTCTCCGGGGTCTCAGGCAGAGGCCTTTCACATCACCTACTGCCTGGTCCTTTCTAAGTGGAGATGCCGGGGATTGAACCCTGGGACCTTCTGCATGCAAAGCGGATGCTCTTGCACTGAGCCACAGCCCCTCCCCATCCATACATCCTGCTCAGCCTTTTCCATAAACAATGAGCTTGCTGTTGAGTTGTTGCTGGCCATAGTGCCTGAGGGTGCCTCTGTGTGTCAGCGGGAAGACAGGGATTCTGCAGGTGCTCCAACGTTTCCTTGAAGTATGCACAACCCCCCCCCCACCATTGGTATCTAACGCCCTTACAACTCCACCACATACATAAACGCGATTCTCCTTACTGTTGGAAAAACTGTGGTGAAAAGGGAATGTGCATACATTGTTGGTGGGAATGTGTCATAATATGAAATGTTTGGAAACAGGTGCTGAGTCAAATAAAGACCCTTACAGGTATACCTATACCTGAGAAGCTGGAGGTCATATTGTTAAATCACTGGCAGGATATTAATATTTTACCCTCTAGGAAAGCACTGATTTCCTTACTCATATCTGCTGCTAAAACGACAATAGCGCATAAATGGAAGGACACAGGGCCTCCACTGATTGATCAATGGTATGCAAGGGTGTGGGACCATTTTATAATGGACAAAATTTCAACTGGCATCACACAATTGTGCCCTTATTCAGCATATCAAGAGTTTATTGGCAAGTGGTGGTTTGTATGAGAACTATTGGACTGTACTACCTATGTTAAGACTTCTTTTAACTCGCACAACAGTTACGCATTTGTGAGGTTATAGTATGATCTAAATGTTCTATTTTTTGATTCTGGAAGACACTTGTTTTATTGTACCAGATGTGAAACTTGGAACTATTGCTGTTATTCATTATTATTTGTTGTTGTTATTGTTCTTGAAAAATAATAAAATTGTAATTTAAAAAAACAGCCATTGTCTCAGGCTGGGTACATAGGCATGTCCCTGTTGGTGCTTCAGGTAAGTTGTACACAGTTATGCATTTGCTGTAGGAAACACCAGCTCCGAGGGGTGGCAGGCCAGAGGAAACACATCTTGCTATCTTCAGGGTTAAAATGTGTTTTCTCCCTCTCTTTATCTCTCTTTAAGAACCACTGCCTGTCACCAGCGTTTCCATTTATGACTATAAGCCATCACCAGAAACTGGAGTGTTATTTGAAATCCAGTATCCAGAGAAGTACAATGTTTTCACCCGGGTGAATATAAGCTACTGGGAAGGAAGAGATTATCGGACGCCCTCTCTTTATCTCTCTTTAAGAACCACTGCCTGTCACCAGCGTTTCCATTTATGACTATAAGCCATCACCAGAAACTGGAGTGTTATTTGAAATCCAGTATCCAGAGAAGTACAATGTTTTCACCCGGGTGAATATAAGCTACTGGGAAGGAAGAGAAACGAGAAACAGCGAGAGCGACGACAATTGGAACTCCGCAGTCATGTGTATGTGTGTTTTGTGTGAAGCCCTTTCAAATCCACTCCTCTTTCACGCTCTCATAGACTTCTCCACCAGCACACACTAACAGCCCATTGCATACAATAATCACATACAAAGAAGCTCTTCCCGCACACTGTTCACATATCACTGTAAAATAAGACCTTAAGAAGAGGCCAGCAGGGTCCAACCAAGAGTTCAGCTAGTTTACAGCTGACCCCATTTCAAGTGAAGTCTCCTCCAGTAAACGCAAGCCAGAGCTCTTACAGGCAATAGCGACAGAGGTTTCAAAGTCTACGGTCTGTATTTACCTCAGATATTTGTCATCCATCTAGTCCATTTGATTTTGTGGGCAACCCCCCCCCCCCCCAAAAACCAACATTAAAACCATTTATAAGCT